CGTAAGAGGAAGATGGGGCAAAAGAGCAGCTGGGGAGAAGGACTGGCTGCACCTCAAACTGAAGAGTGACGCCAGGCCCCGGCAGACGCTCCGGACAAGGACTGAGGCCCAGGGGAGATGAAAATGGAACAGGGGCTACATTTGGCCAAATGGAAAGGTGGGGCCCAGCACTGCAGATGAGCCAGTTAACCGAGACAGTCATCCTGTCAGCGGACATCTGAAGGGCCATATATGGCCACAGAGGCCTCTGGGTAGCAGGGGCTTATCCCAGGATGGGGAAGATGGCCAGTGGGGCTGAGGCAGCGAGGGGAAGGACTGAAGCCAGCTCTGTCTCCCAGATTCCTACCAGCTGGCCTGGGCAGAGGTTGGTGATGCCAGCGAAGCCTGGAGTGAGCTAGAAGTTACAAGACCTAAGCCAAAGCCGCAGTGCTCTCCTCCTGACAGCCTGGGACTATGAAAAGGAACTGGGCTTTGGAGTCCAGGGCTCCAAATTTACACCTCTCCCCTCTGAGCCTCAGTTTCCTCACCTGTAATGACTGAAAACTACCAGTAGCTACCTTGCAGTGTAGCTGAATTAAATGTATGAGTGGGTACTATAAATTATACAGTGCTTCAGGATGTGAAAAGAGGCCGGGCTCCTTAAGACACAAGCCAAAAGGGAGATGGATGCACACGGATCAATAATGACCATGTCCATTCATCCCACAATAGACACTGGGCACCTACCACTTGGAGACATTGCACAGGACACTGAAGCCCTTGGACAGGCTGCCCAAACAGCTGGGTCAGAGAAGTAACATTACTGCTAATTTGCACAAACCAAGCTCTGGGTGCTGCCTGATTTCCAACAGGGCAGGGATTCTAGACATCCACTTGCTATGCTCGGAGAAGTGAAATGGCTCAGCCAAGGTCCCATTTGTTTCCTGGGGTATTGGTTGAGACACTGACTCAGGACACCCTGACAAACCAGCTTTCCTTCCTTCTCTTTTCCTGGAGCACTAATACACCCGCCAGCAACTGGAGGGGAAGGAAGGGAGTCAGAATCAGGCAAACGCCTCCGAGGTGAAAGGAAGGGCAAGCCGGCAGGGAGAAGAACGGCAATCCTCCCAGCCCAGCGCGCCCCAATCCTCCCAGCCCAGCCCGCCCCAATCCTCCCAGCCCAGCCCGCCCCAACGGCCCAACCTGTCCTCTCCAGCACAGCCTCCCAACCTCCCAACTTTCCCTCAAGGCACTGGCTGTCTCCTGGCTCCACCTTGTTCAGCTAAAACTGTACTGTCCAATATGATAGGCTGTGACTATTTAAATTTAAATTCATCAAAATTAAATACAGTCCTGGCCAGATAGCTCAAGTGGTTAGAGTATCTCCCTGATATGTCAAGGTGGCAGGTTCAATCCCCAGTTAGGGCACATACAATAATTGACCAGTGAATGCATAAATAGCTGGAACAACAAATCGATGTCTTGCTCTCTCATATCAATCAATAAAAAAATTTTTTTAAATGAAATACAGATGCTCCTGGATTTACAATGGGGTTAAGTACTGACAAACCCATCACAAGTTGAAAATATCATAAATCAAAAATGTATAAAACACCTAAACTGCCCGGGCCAGAATGGCTCAGGTGGTTGGGTGTCATCCCGTATAGCAGAAGGTCACCGGTTCAATTCCTGGTCAAGGCACATGCCTAAGTTTCTGGTTCGGTCCCCAAGCAGAGTGCAGACTAGAGACAACCATAAGATGTTTCTCTCCTTCTCCTTCTCCCTCCCCTCCCCTCCCCTCTCTCTCAAAAAACAAACGAACAAACAAACAAACTCTAACCTATGGAACATCACAGCCTACCTCACTTGTGCCCAGAACACTCACATTGGCCTATAACTGAGCAATTACCTTGAATTTCATCTCAAGAGTAATTGTCTTCTTTTTCCTCTCACCAGAAGCAGAAGACACAGATGGGCCTTTTGTAGATACAATAAGATGCGAAAACAAAAAACACAATATCCAAGAAACGCTGGCCACACAGTGCACTGTGGCTGTTTGCCCTCACAATCACGTAGCTGAGTGAGAGCTGTAGCCCACGGCCTCTGCCCAGCACCACGAGAATAACACACTGCACACTGCTAGTCTGGGAAAAGATCGAAATTCAAAGCAAGGTTTCCAATGAATGTGTATCACTTTCACACCATTGTAAAACTGAAAAGTCAAGTCAAAACATCTTAAGTTGGAAACCATCTGTAAAGTGGAAATTTCAGTTCCTCAGTGGCACTACCCACATTCCGAGTGCTCAGTAGCCTCGTGTGGATGGGGGCTACCGTACTGGACAGCCCAGATATAGAATACTTCCACCATCACGAGAAGTTCTATAGGACACCCCTGGCCTAAAATCTTCTTTGACTAAATGCTACTATTCCTTCCCTCCATTCAAAAACACAAAAGTATCATTTTTAATTTTAAAAGAACAAGTTGGAGAAATAAACGTGGGAAAGAAAACCGAGGACTCCAAAAATATATAAATTTTTAAATACTATACATGTATAAAAAGTAGGACTCTGGGAGATCATCTCCTCCTCTCCTCCACCACTCCCCCCAAAAAAACAAAGGAGGGAAGTCAAGAGGGAAGGGCAGCAGGGTGACCGGGCCAGAAGTTGATTTAATCAGTCACAAAGGACCTTTCCGCCACTCCAGTCCGAGTCCTGCCCACCTCCCGCCCCACTGGCCCAGCCAATGGGCTCCTGGGACTGAAATCAGCCAAAGAGGATGGGGGGCGGGGCAGAGGGCGGAGCCGACGCAAACCAGCTCTGCAGCAGGAGACTGCCCTCCCTAACCCCATCCAGCTCCAGCAACCCTTCCCTTCCCAGGACCCCTCCCCTCAATCCTGGCCCCGTCCTCTTCACCCTCCTCCCCTGTTTCCCCTCCGATCTGGAGCTTCTACCTACAGCTTCCAGCTTCCCTTCCTTCTGGATTGGAGGGTCAGAGGGTCAGGCCCAACCCCACAAGATCTTGACAGATTCCCTCCAGGGCCCTCACCTATCCAGGCCCTCCCAAAGTCACATTTCTTCTCCCTCCTTCCCTCCACCCTCACTTTAAAAAGTGGCTAACATTCCTATTGCCCTTATTGTAATGCCAGGTTCAGTTCTTGGCGTCCTACGTATTTAATTTTCCAACAACCCTGCAAGGTGCCACTGCTAGCATTTTACAGAGGGGGAAATTAGGTGCAGAGAACAGCAGACCCTTGCCCAAGGCTACACAGCTGGAAAACAATGTATTAGGAATATGAACAAATGTGATCTAGCTTCATAACCAAAACAACTACTTTCTGTGAGATTTTACTTCATAGCTCTACTGCAACCCACAGGGGTTTCCAGTAAGGAGAAACGTGGGCAAAGTGCCCTGTGGATCTCTCTCCCTCCTTTTCTCTCGTCTTATTAATTCAAGGAATATTTTCTAGTCATCTTCTCTGTAGTGTGACCGCAACAGACAAGGTCACTGCCCTGACATCTGATTAGGGGACACAGGTTCAAACGACTTTTTTTATGCAATTCACTTTAAAGATTTTTTATTTATTTACTTTATTTTTAGTGAGAAGGAGAAAGAGAGGGCTCTCTGGCATGCCCCCAAGTGGGGACCTGGCCAGCACCCCAGGTGCCTGAGTGGGAATCGAACCAGTGACCCTTCGGTCCGCAGGCTGGCACTCAAACCACTGAACCACACCTGTGAGGGCTATGCAATTCATTCCAAAATCAGCAAAAGAGCAAAGAAGTACAGGGCACTATTAAAAGAGAGGGGGGAAAACAAAAAAAGTGATGGGAGACCAGATTTCTCTGTTCTCTTCTTTGAAGGGGAGGGGTCTTTACTAAGAGCAAAATGCCTTACTAAGGCAGTTTTATTTTTATTCCCCAACCCCCAAAGCAAAGGTCTTACCGTCTTCCCAGGTCCCTCCAAGCGGCCATCCCACCCTGCATATGGATGGCAACTAATAAAGAACCCCCTCCCTCTCTACAAGTTGTCTCCGTCTCTCGGCGCCCCAAAAGGAGTTGTGTCACTTTTCCTCCCCCAAAGAAATGGAAGCTGTTCCTCCGACTGTCCTCTCCAAGTAGTTCTAACTTATCCCTTCTGTGACAGCTCTTCCTTCACTCCTTGCAGGAACCCCACACTCTGCAAATGGCTCTGGCATCCCTATTCCCTCCTGGGGAAAACTCCCAGATGTCCCAAATACTCACAGATATAGCCAGTCCCCGAACCCCAAGCCGATGCAGGAGAAAGAGGCCAGCCTGGCCCCAGCCTCGACTTGCTCCCAATACCCGTAACCCACCGGCCACTAACGCCATCTTGATTAACAACTCCTTAGCGATCCGCCCCTCTCCCCTTCGAGACTAGGGGGTGCCCCTTCATTAGCCTGACTCAAGTGCCAGCACACCCCGCAGAGAAAACACTTGCTATAGTCCTGAGGTATCTAGGATACAAGTGTGAGTGGATAAAACGTAGTTCCCCAAAAATTACTCCGATCGCCTCATTGTCATTGTTTTTGTAACAGGCAAAGAAGAGGGCAAGCCAACCAGAGGCTTAGGGTTTTAAGGCCCGGGGCCTCGGGTACGACGAGCCCCAGTCAAGGACCGCCCCCGACTCAGTACAGTACAATGGCTTTTCTGGAATTTAGAGGCCGGAGCGGGAGGGGCCAAGTTGTCAGTAAACGGGGAACCACGTGCCCGCTCTGGTGATCCTGGGTTGGCGCTTGCGCACTGGGTACGCAGCAGGTACGCCGGCGCGCGCGCTTCTGTGCGGAAGTGACTGAACGCGTGGTGTTGGCAGATGGAGGGAAGGATGCAGACTGACGCCAAAACCCGCACTGAGTATGGGACAGATTCCGGCTCTCGGGGCCCCTGCTGCAGTCTCCGGCACTTTGCTTGTGAACAGAACCTGTTGTCCCGGCCGGATGGCTCTGCCTCGTTCCTGCAAGGTGAGAACTTACCCCAAGTAGATACTGCTAGGGCCACGTTCATCCCAGTCGTATTTGTTTTAGGGAGGGACTACGGTATATCTTGCAAAGGTGTACCCACCTCCTCTGATAATAGCCGGTAAATATCCCTCCTGAACTCGTAGAGAACTCCTTGCCCGGATGGATATTACTAGATACACGAGGGTCTCTTCCCCCATTTAGAAGGGAGAAGATATTTCCACTCTGGTAAATACTTACCGGGAGAGAGGGGCAGACCTCCCTATAAGCATGAATCCTCTAGAATAGGGAAATCTCACCAGAGTAAGTAACTCCGTGATTAGATTCCTTTTCAACCTCCCACAGACATACCCTGGGTCTATACATCCCAGACTGAGGCAAACCTGCCGATTTGCATAAATACCTAGTAGGCTGGCAGGTCACTATTACTGGTTTGATTACTCCCTGTTATGGCAGACCTTTCACCGAAGGACATACTTTGCAGATTGAGGGTGATGTCTGCACCTTGGATTATGAAAGGTTTTCCTCATCCCCACCAATTGGTTAAATATCCCTGAGATTGGGGTACATCTTACCTATTGTAAGATCTAGCTAAATACCTTTCAAACTCCCTGACCCAGGTAAATATTCCTCTGGAGATAAGCCTAAGGATCACCCCCATAGATGCTTCGGTCCCCTCTCTAAGGCACTACCTTCTACCCAGTTACAAAGCTGCTTTCACTCATTCCTTCTCATTGAACAGGTATGTATTTGTATTAACTACTGTTCTAGGCACTGAGAATACAGCAATAATTTTTTTTTTAATCCCTCATCTAACGGAGTTTACACTCTAACCAAGAACACAGACAGTAAAGAAGATAACTAAGTAAGACACTACAGAGCAAAATATAGAATGGGAGGGGAATAGGGTGTGCCACAGAGTGCTGCAGTCTTAAATAGGATGGCCGGGAAAGGCCTCGATCTATCAGGAAGGAAAGTGTAAAGCTTGGGGAGCAGCAGGTAGCCAGGCCATGGTAAGGACTGACCTGGTGTGTTTGAGGAAGTCAGGAGATCAGTATGGCTGGAGCAGTGAGAGGAGGTTTTGGGGAGAGGTAAGGATTGCCCATCACATAGGGTCTAGTAAATGAGATGGGAGCCATTGGAAGCTTTGCTCAGAGGAGTGGAACAATCTGAGTATATTTTCACAGAATCTCTCTGGCTTCGGTGTTGCCTGCAGTGGGTTATGGGGACAGCAGGAAGATGATGGTGGCTCAAGGCAGAGTGGAAGTAATGAAGGCGGGGAAATTCTTGATGTATTTTGAAGGTAAAACTGACACAATTTGCAGATGGTTTGGTTTTAGAGCATGAGAGGAGACGGACGGAGCTAAGATTTCTGCTCAGATCAGCTGTGCTGGAGGGACATGAGGTGTCCCGTTGGGAATGTAAAGTTCGCAGTGCCTGGTGGGTCTCTCAGTGGTGAGTTGGACATACCAATCTGGAGTTGAGAAGTGAGACCCGATATGGACAGAGAGTTTGAAATCCTCTGGCTATGGATAGTATTTTGGGCTCTTGAATGAAAGAAATCACCAAGAAAATGAGTGTAGATGGGAAAGAGGTCCCAGGACCAGGACCTGAGTCTTCTCACTTGTGAGGAGCTAGCAAAAAAACCCCCAAAACACTGAGAAGGGTCAAGGCAAGAGGAAAACAGAGAGGGAGGTTTCCTGGAGGAGCCCAGAGACGGACGGGCCAACCAGCTGCCTGTTGTAGTGAGGCTGCCTCACATGAGGATGGAACCAACCTGTGGGTTGACAGTTTGGACATTTGTCGCTGGTGATGCTGTCAAGAGCTGCTCCAGTGGGGTGGCGGGATCAAGGAGAGGAAAAGGAGACAGCTCTTCGGGAGCTTGGTTGTTGCAGGGTCAGACCAACGGGGCAGCAGCTGAAGCTGGATGTGGGCCGAGAGGAGAGAACAGCTCCGGAGAACTGTTGGGGCTGTGTCCTCAGGAAGGCGAGAGGGGAGGGACTCCTGTGTTCAGGTGGACCACAGACCATCCGTCTGCCCCGGCGCAGATCTAATTCTCCTGGGTAACTTCCCCCACCTCGGGGCAGGTTTTCCTGGAGCACAGAGAAACCCTCGGTTGTGCAACAGCCCCTCCTCCCAAACCCAGGGAAAACAGCCCAACTAGGGACCTTCTCGGCCTGTCCCCAGGCTTAGCTCTCTTGCTAAATTCAGACGCCTCAAGTTTCTTAGAACTTAGCAGTACTGAGAAGGGTGGCCTCTTCCATGTTCTAAAACCCCAGGCCTCTGGAACAAGAGGAGTCCTTGAAGACCCTTAAAAGTATGTTCCGGGTATGTCTGGTCTCAGAATCTCTGGTAAACTTAAAATGCAGAGGCCCAGGGCCTGGCGAATGTGACTCAGTTGGTTGGAGTGTGGTCCCATAACCGAAAGGTGGGTCAGTTTGTGATTGGGGCACATTCCTTGGTTGCAGGTTCTATCCCTGGTCTGGGCACATAGGATCCCCAGTCCAGGCACATATGGGAGGCAGGTGATTGATATTTCTCTCTCCCTTTCTCTCTAAAAAGCAAAGAAAAAATGTCCTCAGGTGAGGATTTAAAAAAAAAAAATGCATAGCCCCAGAACCTGCCCCATTGTCCTGTATATTTTCCATTAAGTGCTGCAGTGGTTCAGATTTCACACCAGTGTTTGGAAGCTGTGCTCGAGCTCATTTCTTCACACTGCAGGTCGCGGGTTCCCCTTCTCTCCCCGCACACGGAATGGCCTGTGGAGCTCTGACTCCCAGTGCCTGAACCCTACCCTGAGCAGCTGGATTAGGATCTCTGGAGGAGGGCCTGGGCATCACTGTCTTTAAAGCTTTGGTGTGAGTTTAGTGTGCAGTCAGGGTTGAGATCCACCGCATTCACTGTTTTTCACTGCAATCAAATAGAAAATATCAGAGTATGTTAAGAGAGCAACGGTAAGATTTTGTGAAGCCTTTGCCCCATTTACATTCACACAGAGGTCTGCAGGCATTTTGAGTCCCGTTGCAAAATGTATTCCTTGGAGTTATGGTCAGAGAAGTTTGGAAGCTGCCGCTCGAGTCCGGTCTCTATTTTGCAGGTGGTAAAACTGAGGCCCAGAGAAATGAGCAACATCAGCCGAGGGTGCATAGCCAGGAGGAGGCAGAAAGGACTAGAAGCCAGGCTTTCTATCTCTCAGGGCTTGGTCCATAGCCACCCTGGGAAATAACTTGGGAGTCAGGGCCCACACCCAGAGATACATCCCTTTCTCAGGTGTCCTGACTGCTGCAAAGTTAGGGAGCAATAGCCTGAGTGAGGGAAGAGGGTAGGGCTGGGGGAAGCTTTGGGACAGGTTGAGACCAACTGCAGTGAGAGAGAGGAAGGTTCACCGTCAGGGAGAACTTCCTGTTAAAGTCAGTAACATTAGCCAGAGTCTGTTCACTCAGCATGTTCCAGGCAGTGTTGTCCATTGCCTCACTCAGGCCTTGCGATGCTATGAGGGAGGTCCTGTTATTGTCCCCATTTTACAGGTGAGGAAGTGAAGGGAGGGAAATGAAGCCGGTCCTCCAAGGATCACTGCCAACAACTGGTGGGCCAGGGCAACGCCCACACTGTTCAGTGCCTCGCAGTGGGCCCCGGAGGCAGGGCACACGTGGGTCAGGCCTCCGTGCTCTCTCCTTAGGGGATACCTCCGTCCTGGCCGGGGTATATGGGCCAGCCGAGGTGAAGGTCAGCAAAGAGATCTTCAACAAGGCCACACTGGAAGTGATCCTGAGGCCGAAGATCGGGCTGCCTGGTAACTGGGTCCCCGATGTCCATTCTCTCAAGATCTCCTGCCCGGCCCCTCCCTCATGGCTGTCCCTAGTCTCCACTGTCCCCTCATTTCCCCTCAGCGATTTCTACCTCTTTCCTCCAACTCTTCCTCTGAATCTTTTGTTTCTTTTCTCTTTGCCTCTCTGTCTCTCTGAGTCTTCCCATCCCCCTTCTTTTTCCTGGCTCCATCTCCACTTCTCCCCATTCATATGTTTTTATGCCTCTACCTCCTGTCTTCCTCACTCCAGAGGACTGGGCCCCCTGGGTTGGGCCTGAGCAGCAGCGCAGGACATGGGCACTCGGGTTTTCCTCCCCCAGGAGGCTCCCTTGCTAGATGCGGGAGGCGGCGGGGGTGGAGTGGGTGGCAGCCAGGCCCTACCTCCTGCCAATTGGGAATGCTGTGCCATTGATGGAGGGTCCTGCGCCAACCCAGGCTGAGGCTGCAGGCCCTTTCCAGAGGCTTGGGTGAAGCGTATGGAGGAAGAAAAAAGCCTGACCCGTTCCCATGCCTTACTTCCCCAGGTGTAGCAGAGAAGAGCCGGGAACGGCTGATCAGGAACACATGTGAAGCGGTGGTGCTGGGGGCGCTGCACCCCCGCACCTCCATCACCATCGTGCTGCAGATCATCAGCGATGCTGGCTCTGTATCCTTTCCCCCAAGCTGCCTCCTCCAGGAAGTCCTCCAGAATCTCCTTAATTTCCCTAATTTCCTCCCTTGCTGAAGGCCGTACACATCCTCTTCTAGCAGAAGACCTCCAAACACTTGACAGGCACCAAACCAACTTGTTGAAAAAGAACAGCAAACAGCTTGAGTGCTTACTGTGTGTCAAGCACTATTCTAAGTGCCTTATACATGTCAACTCATTTAATCTGTACAGCAAAGTCAACTCACATAAGGAGTAATTGGCAGAGTCAGGACTTAGACCCACCCCATCTGGTTCCAGAGCCCAGGGCCCCTGGAAGGTTGATGTTCTTATGTTCCCCAGTTTCAGGTGAGGAAACTGAGGCTCAGAGAGGGGAAGTCACTTGTCCATGGTCACACAGCTGAAGGCAGCAGAGACAAAACTCAGGCGCAGGCTTGATTCCAAAGCTTGTGCCATTGACCTTCATTCTGACCCTGGGATGTTTTGTTTTGTTTTGTTTTGTTTTTAAGGTTTTATTTATTTATTTTTAGAGAAAGGGGAAAGGAGGGAGAGAGGAAGAGAAACATTGATCGGTTGCTTCTAGCACATGCCCCACCTGGGGACTGAACCTGCAACCCAGGCGTGTGCCCTGACCGGGATCGAACCAGTGATCTGATCTGTGCAGGATGATGCCCAACCAACTGAGCCACAACAGTCAGGGCCGACCCTGAGTTTAGATTTGAAGTTCCACACTGGGGGAGCCCTGAGCAAGCAGAGTAGTTGGGCCAGCAGCTCATCCTTGAAAGACACCTGTGGTTTGGGTGACAGGTTGAGGCTGAGGACCAGAAACGGGCACTTGTAGAAGGCCTCGTGGGGCAGGCACTTCATAGATAGGAGGGAAGGGCTGTTGTAACCCCATTATACAGAGGGCGGAAGTGAAGCTCAGAAGGAGGTCACAGACGGTCAGTGGCAGAGGTGGGATGGATTCTGCAGTTGGGCACTTATCTGTGCTACACCTGGGGAGCCAGCTGAGGTAGGGGCTGGGTGTCTGGCTCGCCTAGCCCCGGGCTCACCGTCCACCGCGCCGCAGCCACACTCCCCCCTGGATGGTGGGCTCCCTCAGGGCGGCAGTAATGACTCCTCCCTCCACCTCCCTGCCAGTCTGTCATTGGTGGCAGCTGCCTGCCAGAGTCCCAAGCTCCAGACTTCGCTCTGCCAGCACCTCCCATGTGATCGGGAAGTTGTCTTCCCCTCTCTGCCCGTGGTTTCCCTCATGGTGCTTGGCATCTGCCAGTATATATCTGTGGAGTATCACGATTCCTGATTGAGGCTCAGAGAGTGTCACTTGCTCAAGGTCACAAAGTCAGTTCTGGAACCCAAGTTTATTTGATCTCAGAACTAAAAACTCTGCCATACTCCCTCCCTGTGATCAGTTAGTGCTGCTGCCACTGCATTGGCTGGGGGGATGGGGATAAGGACACGTGCCGGCCAGCCCTGCAGTGGAAGCTCTTAACCACTCCCCGTGGCGCTCAGCTCCTGGCCTGTTGCCTGAACGCCGCCTGCATGGCGTTGGTCGACGCAGGCGTGCCCATGCGGGCCCTCTTCTGTGGGGTCACCTGTGCCCTGGACGCCGATGGGACCCTTGTGCTGGACCCCACGGCCAAACAAGAAAAGGTAGGTATGAAGGCCAGAGTGGTGAAGGGCCGTGGGCAGACCCTGTCCCTCTCCTGTAGGCCACACTTTTCCACCACAGTTGGCTTGTACCACCTCAGTCCCAGCTGACAAACTGCTCCGTTCATCAGGGCAGGTGCTGGAAACCCAAGTCAGACTGTGTGAGCAAACAGGGAATGGACCGACACTGAAAGCCAAGCTCAGGACAGAGACTGAGCCAGGGCCTCGAATGCCATCTGGATTCCCTTTCTACATTTCCTAGTGCCTGCTCTTTTCTGCACGTTGGCTCCATTCTCTCTGGCCAGCATCTCTCCTGAGGCTGTGACTGGCCTCTTAAGTTCTGTGCTTACATCTTAAGAGGCTCAGTCACAGGAGGAGAGGGCATTCCTCATTGGCTCAAGTTCACAGTATTCTAGGGTTGTGGCTACCCTTCATTTATTTGCCCAGCCAGGAAAGCAGAATCCACTTGGGGGATTTCCAGTGGAGAGTTTCATGCAGGGGACTGGCTACAACAGTGTTGGAAGAGCCCAAGGAGCAAAAGGGAACGCCCAGAGATCAGAAACCTGTAGCCAGCTCCTGCCTGCACACACCCCACTGCCGCTGTCAGAATCCGGCCCAGGATGCTGGTCTCCCTCCTGCCGGTCTCCCACCAGATTGCTGCTGGAACCTAACTTGTAGGGGCATCAGGAAAATGCATTTTGCCAGCTTCCAGCCCCAGCAGCAAAGAGCCCAGGGGCCAGGAAGCACCAGGTAGATGAGGTGCCCTGTGGCTCCCCCTACAGGGCAGGAACACTGCTTGGAAGCCCAACAACCCTGCTGTTGGAATCGGGTATAGAATCCAGGGGAAAGCTGGGAGGGGTGGTACCTAGGTAAACAACCACACTCAATGCAAGAGTACCTGGCTTCGGGAAAGGCGAGTCCCTTTGGGATTAGCCAACATGTCTGAGGGGAAGAGTCCAGGTCCCCCACCTTCTCCTTCATCCCTAGGAGGCCCGGGCAGTCCTGACCTTTGCACTCGACAGCGTGGACCAGAAGCTGCTTATGTCCACCACCAAGGGACTCTTCTCCAATGCTGAGGTACCAGCGTGTGGATGAGGGTGAATCCCACAGCCTTTTCTCCACCCCCAGCACGTCCCTGGCCTGCACTCAGAGGTTCAAGGAGGGCCCCTTCTTGCATCCCTCTGTAAATAAGAGTTTGCAGACTTTGTAGTCATAGAAACCTTTGTGGGAATTTTAAAAGGGAAGTGCACCCTGGCCACTGTGGCTTGGTTGGAGCGTTGTCCTATAGACCAAAAGGTCATGGGTTTGATTCTGGGTTAGGGTTACATACCCAGGTTGTGGGTTTGATCCCCGGCCGGGGCACATGTGAGAAGGCAACCGATAGATGTTCCTCTTTGACTACAAGCGATGAAGAAATGTCCTCGGGTGGGGATTAAAAAAATTAGGGAAGCCCAATTAATGAGATAGGAAAATAGGAGTTCAGGTTGAAATCCGGAGGTGGGGGTACCCCCGTTCCAGATCTGAAGAGTTTGGAAACTTGGGCCAACTGGTCTCCAAGAGCATTTCCAGTCTGGACCTCCTAAGAATCGAATGATCTGGGGCAGTAAAGATTGGGGTCTCGGATTCGATGGCTCCTAATATCTTTCGGAGTCACAGGGCCCGTGGCTCTAAAATTCCAGGATCTCTCCAATTTTGTGAGCTCTTAAGGGTCCAGAGCTCCAGTGTAGTCCAGCTGTCACGGTGCCCAATCCCACTGGGGTAAGGCCCTGGAGCTGCTGGAAGCTGACCCCCCCAAATCCTTTGCCTCTTTTTCCTTCTTGTCCCCTCTAAAGGGCCCTGACGTGGGGGAGGAGAAGATGCATTTGGAATAATCCCCTCCCCACCTGCCTCACCTCAAGGATGGTGGGGGATTGCCCAGGTGAAGAGGGAGGTGGTAGGTTTAGGGGCCCGAGAAGTCAGGTGAGCCAGCCAGACTGCATGGTACAGACAGGGATGGGCCTGCACTGACCAGCTTCTCCCCACCCAGCTGCAGCAGTGCCTGGCTGCAGCCCAGGCTGCCTCGCAACACGTCTTCCGCTTCTACCGGGAATCTCTGCAGAGGCGGTACTCCAAGAGCTGAGGCGGCTGGGGCGCGGTGCCCCACCTACCGCTGCCTCCCGTGCAAAATAAACCAGTGGCCCAGCCTTGCCTCCGTGTCCTCGGGTGCCTGGGAGAGCTTGTGGGGCTGTAGCCGCAGGGCCACCTGAGGAGTAACTTCACTGCAGCCCCTGGGGCTAGTGATGAGGGGACACAGGCACCCCTACACCCACCAGGAAAACATTACTAGGACTGCACATTTATTGAATTCATTTAGTCTAACATGTCTATTGAGCACCCCGTTGTGCAGGCCCTGCTAGGTGTTAAAGGACCTAGAATTGGTGTTTGTCAGACAATAGTAAATGGCTGTGACAAAACAAAAAGCCGGGAAGAGAGGTTTGGGGAAGGCAAATTTAATACATCCGTCAGGGACGCCGTCACGGAGGAGGACATCTGAGTGAAGCCAGGAGGAGGCCAGGGAGTGAGCTCTTGGACACATGGGGGACAAGCCCCAGAAGGACCTGTTGAGGACCAGCAGGGCGGCCAGTGTGGCCGGAGCTGAGCATGTGAAGGCAGAAGAGAGAGGTGGTCGGGGGGTGGTTTGTAGGGGTGTCGGAAAAATGCCCCCATCCCTTCCCCACAGGACACACCCATGTCTGAGGCCAACAAGCCAGTGAGGTGGGGCTGTTACTTTAATCCACATTTTAAGATGAGAAAACAAGCTCAGAAGCCAGTTAACTGCCAGAGGTCCCCAGCTAGTCAGCAATGGAGCATGGGTCCCACTTAGCCCAACCCCAGTCCCTCGCTGTTCAGACAAACCCAGGGAGAGGCCAGCACGCTAGACTGGGGTTCCCCATCAGTACACAGAAGTGACAGGCCTGTTGGTTACCAGGGCCAGTAGCGACCCCTAGGGGGCACCTGGAAATATGGGGGGACATTTTTAGTTGCCGTTTTGACTGCTCCCACACTTTTGTTTAGAGGGCAGGAGCCAAGAATGTGTGAGCATCAACAAGGATTAGCCCACATCTGAGCCGCATGGTTGCCTGACCCCAGCAGCCGCTCGTGTTCGGGGGTTGTCATGGGCCCTGTGCTGCGTGCTTCGCATGCCTGAACTAGCTCACATAGTTCCCACAACTGCCCCTCTGGGTGGTGTCATTTTCATCCCAGGAAATGAAGGAAATGCAGGAATATCTTTAGCTTGCAGTCACGCTCCCCGGAATGCCAAATGGGGAAGAGCTCTAGGAAGATCCACTGGAATGGCAGTGAACGGAGTGAGAAGACCAAACTGTCCATAATATCAAACCCCAGGTAGTGAGCACATCTGCCCCTCTGCTAAGTGCTGCTTCTGGCAGACACTCCGTTTGACCAGGCCTTTGATGCTACCTTAAGGCTCTGACCCCTGCCGTTCCCCCCTCCCAGTGTCAGGCTGTATGATTAATTTGGCACTGCCCTTGAGAGGGCCCTTGGGAAGCAGGACCTCTGGGGTGCTCTCTGTTGCTAGGGCTGTTTCTCCTCCCCGACAAGGGGGAGCCTGCATGGAATTAAGCCAAAGGAAAGGAGGGCCAAGAGTTGGAGGGTCCAGACCATTCGCTTCATTTGAGCCCCTGAATCCTGCTCCTCGACTTTCTTCCCTTTGTGTGCATGTGTATAAGGTAATCCAAGTTGAGTTTCTGCCACTTGCTGTAGAAAGAGCTCAGAGGGAGACTTTATTTTACCTGTGTGACCCATTTCCCCGGTGGGGGAAAATTAGTCCCATTTTGCAGCTGAAAAAATGAGGCTCAAAGAGGCCACGTGGGCCAAGGTCATACAGCTACCATATGGAGGAGTAAGTCCTTGGCACCCGGCTGTCTAATTCTCTGCTGACCACCCTCAGAAGAGATCATTCTGCAACTTGGAAGCCCTCCACCCCCGGATTCCCCCTTGTCCAGCTCTGAGGTGCCCAGGAGCATCCTGGGGATGGCCTGTCAGGCGCCCTCAGCCCCGCCTGCCCCCACACACAGACTGACGGGTTTGACTGCTAGAGTGTCTGGTGTTTAATCTCACATTGTAGCAGCCGGGAAGGGTAGAGGGTTGTACGGCTTGGTCCCATTGCTGGACGCTGCCACCGCCATATCCACCTGGATTCTCCACTCTGCCAACGTATGCTCTGGACCAACGGTGGTTCACAGTAAGGGCTGCAGGGGCAGCTAGGGCAAGTCTCAAGAGGCAAGGTAGGCAGCCAGGGTCGCCAGGACTGCCGCGTCTGCACACACCCGGCCCAACAGCCAGGACCCCCAGCAGGAAGGCGCGGCGGGAGGCGGCCCCTGTCCCCTGGATGTTCCTCTTGGCCCAAGCCTTACTGGTCTGTGCAGGTGTTGGGCATCAGTGAGTCAGGCATCCCTTCTGCCACCCTGCTTCCTGAAGCCCAGCTCCTTCCCCGTGGGACACACCCAGGCGTTCGTTCATATATCTCCAAGACAGGGAGCATCACTGTGGGCCAAGCACAGTTGGGCACTGGGGATACCGGGTGACTAATAAAAGACATGTATGATAGCGTATGGCGCCGTTAGGTCCTGACTCATTGCATCCTCACAGTGACCCTGAGGCAGGAATTACCCAATTTCACAGATGCGTAAAAAGACACAGGGAAGTTGTAGCTTGCTCAAAGAGAGGGGCAGCCCTAGGGTTTCAGGCTTTTAACCACCTCCTTCCGTCCCTCTGTGCAACACGCCTCATCTTACCCCTGAGTGTTTCCATGTGAAGCGCCTCTCCATCTCTTTTCCCCCGCCCCCAGGCATAACTGCTGTTCTGTTTTCTTGTACCTTGAGTGCATTTTTCTCTTCTATATCCAGTCCCCCCACCCCAGCCCCACACACAGATCTTTGGAGCCAGGAAGAAGGCAGCAATGCCCACAGGCCAGAAACAGCACAGCACGGAAAAGACAGCCAAGCCCAGGTGGTCATGGGGCAGCAGTGGGGAGAGAAGGCTGACCCCATCCCAGTCCGAGTCGCTGTCATTTGATACATCCTATAGACAGAAGAGAGCCTGGGTGGGCATCACCCACCTTCCCTGCCCCAATGCTCTGCTCTTCGTGGCCCCCAAAGACCAATAGCGGGGCCTCCCCAGAAACACCAAGACAAATGTTTCAGCAAACAGGCTCTTGACTTTTCTATATCTTAGGACCCTTTGAGGCGAAGCTGTGGAGCTTGTCTCAAAGAGCTGTGTCACCCACCCCGGCTCCCCCACCAAAGCTCTGAATTCAATTTCAAGGAGTTCACAGGTCCAGTCAGATACTACAACTGTGTGTAATGTCTGAGTTCAATGCCCCTGAAATGGAGACAGGCACCAAAAGGGGCAGGATCCTGCAAAAAGATGAAGATTAGGAGAAACAGCTCTGGTGGCCTAAGTTACTCAGACAAACCTGCCCCCTGAAACTATTGATTCTAGATTTTAAGTTAATCTTGCATCAAACAGCTCATAAGAGTAAGGAGTCATTGTAAGGCCAAAACTGAAATGAAAATCCAAGTTAACAGGTCAAATGAACACAGAAGGCCTCTTTTGCCCTTTCTGGGAAGGCATTTGCCAATTCCAGAAAAATTAACTTCAATCAAAAATTTAATTTAATTTTTGAAATTAAAAATGATCTTTAACTGCTGATGTCCCCAGGCAGCTCTCAGAAGCAAACCAAGTCCTCTCTGGAGGGACGTACCTTCATTCTAGGCCTCAAAATAATTTTTCAAATATGACCAGCATGTCTGTGAATGAATATGAGCAGAAATAATTAGACCTGCAAAATCTTTGAACAATGGAATTATCAGACGCATATAATGTCAGCATGATGCCTGTTGCCACAGTATGGCAGACTCTTCCAAAAGTGGCCACAACCATCTCTCCCATCCTGCATGCTCTTAGACAGCGACTGAAACTTTTCCCATCAAGGGCAAGGTTTGTGTCTCTTCTACTGGAATCTGGATAGGCTGTGACTTGTCCACAATTGATGGAATGTAATTGATGGAATGTCACAAGACTTCCCAAGTCAGAAAAGGTGAGGCAGCTCCTGATTTGCTGACACACTCATGCTGGAGACTGGAGGCACGTAAGAAGTCCAATGGCCCAGAAGCCACCATGCTGGAAGGAAGCCCAAACCAGCCCACGTGGGGAGACGCATGTGGAAACCCTAAGACGACATGAAGAGAGGTACTAGCCAGCCCCAGCTGCATCAACCCCCTGATTGTTCCAGATCTTAGCCACTGGTTCACTGCAACCTCATGAAAGACACTAAGGCAGAACGACTCCAAATTCCTAACCCAAGGAAACCATGAGTGATAACAATGACTGCTGTTCTTTTTAAACTACTAAGTTTTGCAGTGATTTCTTATATAACAGTGGTAACTGGGAAGCCATGTTTACAAAATGAATAAGAAATTACAAAAGTGACAATTTTCAAAAAAGATCAGGGCAGACGTAGGCCAGAGGCGAGTTGGCTCAGGAGAGAGATGGACAGATAGCAGGAGAGTCAGAAATCAGAGGAAAGACAGAGCCAAAGGCTAAGGAACTAAGATAAGAAGCAAATATGGAGAAAGCTAAAGAATCCAGGGGACAGGGAGAATAGGAAAAACAGGATATCTAGGAAGCCCCATTCGCAGCTCAGAAGTGAGACTCCAGTCCAAAGGCAGGTACCTCAGCTGCCAGCCTATCAAATGTTGACCATAGCTGTAATCTCCAGCCCCCTCCTCTTGCTTCCACTAAGGCCTGTTACTCCTACCTCAAGGTCAGGGGGCCCTGGCTGCCCAAGACCAGCGCTCACAGAGGGAAGAGGTAGTGGCAGAAGCTGCCAACCCCACAGCGACTCCACAAAGGCTGTCTCTCTGAAGAGGGGATCCAGCTCAAGCTCCCCAGGCTTCTGGACAGGGCATGCGGAGCCTACACCTGCCAGCAGAGGCTGTTGAAGTTCTGGAAGACTGGGGCTGCCCATGGCTGGGGAGAGGTTCCTGGAGGTGCTTCCCTGGATAGGGAAAGAAAAGGAGAGATTGTGAAAGTCTCACCATCATCCTCCCCATGACTTTTGACTCTGGAGAGACTCCATACAGAGACTAGACAGCGCAACAGCTCTCAGACCCACTTTACAGATAGTAAAACTGAGGACCACAGAGTAAAAGAGGCCACATTGTAAAGAGAATCCAGGGGGTCTGGACATTCAACCCGGGGCCTCTCTATCCTCAGCCAAAAACCATGTAACTGTAGCACACTTGTTCCAAACCATGGCTTGCACATTTACTTGCTTGATGAACTACACACCCATCCTGGGTGTATAATCACCGTCCCTCTCCCTCACAGCCCTCCCCAGTGACACTTTGCACTTTACTCTAGTTCACATCCCCTGTGCCCCCCAAGCCTGCACACTCTAATACCCAAATCCCTGGCCTACACACCCATTCAGACAAGCCCAACCCCCAGCTCCATCTGCATGTATTCGTCTCCCAAGGGATTCCTTCATCCTTGACCCTGGCAACATCAACTCCCAGAAAACACCTCCTGGAACTCCCAACCTTACACACTCATCCTAAGCGACTCCTTGCACACTCCTAGTCTCGTAGAAGAGACTCCCCATATGTACATATATGCACACGTATCCAACATCACCATTCCCATCACTTCCCTTGCGCACCTGCCAACACCCCGGCCTACTCCACCCACACCGATGACCCCACACAACCTCTTGCAGTCTCACCAGCTCCCCAGGCAGCTTCCTGTTTTACTAGAATCCACCTTGGCACACCTACCCCATAACACCCCCCACCCACCACACGCTCGAACGTACTCAACAAATAATATTCTCGCCCCACGGTCCCCGCGGGGGTCCTCCCGAGCCTCCTGCTCTCACTCCAAACCTGGTTTGAGCCAACTTCCTCGCCAAGGGTTTGCCTCCCCAACCCCAGCGCCAGGACCCGGGGGAGGAGCGGGACCGCAGCTGCACCCCCTCACTCACCGCCCACGGCCCCTGCGCTGACATCCGCTCCAACTCTACCGTTCGGGTATGGAGGCTTCAGTGAGCCCCACGCTGCCCGGGCCGGAGCCTGGAGGTGCCGGGTCTGCGCGCTCCACTAGCTCCCTGGCCCGCGGCGCGCGGGGGCGGGGATGGGAGCTGGGCGGCAACCTCCGGGCTCCGCCCTCGGCGGCTGGAGTAAGGGGGCCTTGAAGGCCGACGTCAGCGGGGGGAATGCGGCAGCGGGCGGAGTCTCCGGGACAGGGAAGCCTGAGCCCAGACCCCAGGCCCGAGCGCTGCGAGGTGGAGGAAGGAAGCCCGGATCCTCCAGGGTCTTTCTGACTTGCCCCTGCCTCCACCCACCTCCACCACCCACTGCTCAATGATAACAGCAATTACGGCCACCTGTGTGCTCGGTATACACATGCACATATACCCTCAGAACAGCCTACGAGGCACTCTCATTTTTTGTCCTGTTGTAAACAGGGGGAAACAGGCAGAGAGAGCTCCCAGGTCACTGAATGCAGACTCCTGGGTTAAGTGCTTTACAGACATCATCATACTGATTCCTCTCAGTAGCTCTATTTCTGGCCCCATTTTGCAGACCAAAAAACTGAGGCTCAGAAATGTGTGCTCACTTGGCCAAGGTTAACTGGAACTTGGCCTGGCAGATTGTAACCCGGGGCTGTATTCCTTGCTGGTCAAGGTAAAGGGACGAAGCAGAGGCAAAAGTGGGGCAGGGGCTTCCCGGGAAAGGAGGCTGTGGTGGGAGCGAGCAGGGGGATTGGGCTATGTGCTGGCTAACAGATGGTACAGGTTGAGACAGTGTTTGGATGCACAGCGACCTCAGTTTCTTTCTAGGCTCTTAAAGGCCCTGGCAGTCTAACCTCTGGAAAATAGCATCGCTTCTCTGAACCCCAATTTCTTCATCTGTAAAAGGATGTAAATATTCCCTGCCTCTTAGAGACGATAATATACATAAACCACTTAACATATATTAGGTGAGATAAAAATGTCCAGCATTTACCCAAAACCTCACAAGATAAGCACTGGAAACATGTTTGTGTTTATGAATATTATTATTTATATTCATCTCCATCTGATTAGGGAACTTGCCTCACCCTGCCGATCTCCACCTCCTTCAGGGAGCCCCCCTAGCTTGCACTGGCTTCCCCTTCGCAGAAGCCCTCCATTTCACCAGTCCCCGTCAGACAAACCGGAGGCTCCCTCTGCCTGATGTGGGGCCAGCCAGAGTTCCCTCGCTCCAGGGCTCTGAGTCTCTTTGCCAAGCGTCCAGACGCTGGAGCTGGCGCTGGCCCCACTCCCAGGGGGAATACTTGAATATGCCAGTGTTTCTAGCAAATGACAGGCAGGCGGGGAGACCCACAGGAGGGCAGAGTAGAGGGGAAGAGGGAGCAGGATTGTTTTATCTGGGAGAGAGACCCTATTATCCTATCTCCTTAATCTCCCTCTGATTCATTTTTCATCTTGTTTATCACTATGAAACATATCACTGTAGTCCCTCTTATCCATGGGGATATGTTCCAAGACCTGGCATGGCCTAGGCGAATGAGGCTGGGTGCCTGAAACTGTGCATAGTACCAAAACGTATATATACGATATTTTTCTCTATATGGACATACCTACCTATTATAAAGTTTAATTTCTAAATTAGGCAATGTAACAGACTAACAACAATAACTAGTAAGAAAGTATAACACAAAACAATAAATTGTCATTAAACTTACGTGAATGTAGCCTCTCAGAATATTTTATACTCATCCTTCCTGTGATAATATAAGATGGTACATGCCTGTGTGGGGAGATGAAGGTGGGTGAATGACAAAAGCATTGTAACTTAACATTAGGCTACTCTTGACCTTCTGATGATAAGGGTTCCTTGAACACAAGCACTTCCATGCGTGGCAGCCGATCCGGTAACAGAGAAGGCTACTAAGACACTAACAGGTGGGCAGCGCATACAGCGTGGATACCCTGGGCAAAACGATGATTCACATCTTGGGTGACATGGAGCCGAACGAAGTGAGATTTCATTTTGCCTTTCAGAATGGCGCACAATTTAAAATTTGTGAATTGTTTGTTTCTGGAATTTTCCATATAATATTTTCAGATAGGGGTTAACCTCAAGTAAATGAAACAGCAGAAAGCAGATCCAGGGATGGAGGGTGGAGGACTACGGTATGTTTCTGTTGTTTGTAGTTCGAATTCTCCCACATCAGTGTCAGCCACAGAAGGCCTGAGATGTGATCGATTTTGTTTACTGCTCTATCTCAGGGCCGGAAACAGCACCTGGCACAAAGTAGGCCTTCATACATATTTGTGGGATTAGGGCATGAATTCCCACCAGCCTCAGTTTTTCACTGACACTTTAAGCTTTGTGGGTTCCTTATCCCCCTAAGCCACCCCAGCCATTTATTCTCTTCCATTGAGATGTCTCTGGCCACCATCAGCCTTGTACAGTCTCCCCAACTCCACCCCGTTCAAGAGATGACAGGAGGCCCGGGCCCCTTAGGGTCTGCAATGGTCCTAGAATATTAAACATGAGATTCTACCCAGAGTCATCAACAGAGGCTTTAAGCCATTGACAAAAGTTCAATGAAGAACAAGGCATTTATTGAGTCTCAAATTTTCTTCCAACAGATTACTTATTTATTACAAAGGAAAAATATAGTGTTAGTGGAGAACACTGGTAGACACCACTTTAACCAGGTGATAGAAGTTAACATCACCAGTAATGGAACAAATTGACATCATGTGCCTCCTGATGTGCACTGAGAAGAACATAACATCATCTCTGCGGTTTTCCTGCCAAAAAATCCATCATCTGATTCTAAACTTGAAAGAACATGAGACAAAGCCAGATTAAGAGACAGCCTGCTAAGCAATTGGCCTGCCGTGACTGGCGTGGCTCAGTTGGTTGAGTGTCGACTTGCAAATCGAAAGGTCATTCAATTCCCAGTTAGACACATGCCTGGGTTGCAGGTTTGGGTACGAGAGACAACCAATTGATGCTTCTCTCCCTATTTCCCCCCGCCCCCCGCCTTTTCCCTCTCTATAAATAAATAAATAAACAAGTAAAGTAGCGGGGCTGTGCTCTTCAAGAATGCCAATATCGTTTTCCGCCATCTTTCTGTGCCACCATAATAGTGGGCATGAATGTCCCAGCTGATGCTCTCAGGAGTATCCGCAATGCTGAACAGAGGGGCAAACACCAAGTCTCTGTTAGGCCATGCTCCAAAGTCATTGCCCAGTTTCTAACTGATGATGAGGCATGGCCACACTGGAGAAATTTGAAATCATTGATGATCACAGAACTGGAAAAATTGTTGTGAAACACATGGTCTGGTTAAGCAAGGGTGGAGTGATCGGATTTGATGTGCCACTCAAAGATCTAGAAAACCGGAACAACACGCTCCCATCCTGTCAGTTTGATTTCATTGTATTGGCAACGTTGGCAGGCATTATGGACCGTGAAGGAGCAAGAGGAAAAAAATAGGAAGGAAAATCCTGGAATTCTTTTCCTAGGGATGTGGTACGTACATGCAAATTTCAAAAAGTCTATTAACCAATGTCACCCCAATAAATGTAATAAAAAAGTAAAATAAAGAGCTCGATGAAGCCTGTAAAAATATGTCAATGTCATAAAAAACAGAACAGTTAACAAAATTTAAAACTTGGCCCGTTCTAGATTAAAGGTGGCTATGGAAATGTGACAACTAAGTACAAAGTATGATCCTAGAGAGAGGACAGATAGTGATAAAATATGTTATTGGGACAATGGGAAAAATTTGAACATAAACTATAAATAAGATGATGGTTTTGTATCAATGTTAAATCAATATGGTGGAAAATATTAAATTGGCATTATGATTACATAGGAGAATCCCCCCTTGTTCTCAGGAGAATTTGACTTCTGAAAATACTGTTATGAATAATATTCATTTGGATTCATATATCATTTGGGGTGGGACAAAA